TTATTATTATTATTAGTAGTAGTAGTATTACTATAATTATCAAATACATTGAGCAGATCGCCCCTCAGTTCCCAGGTATGCCTGCAGGGGGCGCTGGTGCCAGATCCTCGCGCACCTGGTGTAGTACGCGTCTGTATATGCGACTTGGTTATTTCATACGTGGTTGTTTCATACGCGTGCGCACGCCAAATTGTCAACTTCTGAATGCACTTTGTTGCCAAGCATCATCTTTAAGAGCACCCTAACACAACATTGAAGGTGTATAGCTCATGATTGTTAGTTTTTGTATTATTATTATTATTATTAGTATTATTATTATCAGGGGTTAATAATGACAAATATTTTTAATTTTTAATTGACAAATCATTGACAAATCATTTGTCATTTATTTTGTCATTATCAACTCCTGTTATTATTATTGTTATTAGTATTATTACTATTATTATAGCTACCTGTCAGTCACACTGGGCAGCACGTGTAGGTCGATTCTATTGTCTTTCGATCTCTCTGCATGACAGAATCACACATCTCGATGCTCAAGGACAAGCTACAGAGCCGGAAGCAGAAAGCCGGGGGCGACGTGGCGACGCCCGGCAACGCGACCGTCGCCACGACGACGACGACGAAGCGACTGTGAGTGAAACCCAGCGAGTTTGGTTGATAGGCAGAGACCGTGAGTGGTGCGTGCGTGCGTGCGTGCGTGCGTGCGTGGGTGAGTGCGTGTCACGGTGTCCGGTGGTTACACCCTAGTTTTTCTTCCTATATCGTCTTCACATCTCCCACGTCGTCTTCACGCTCTTGTGTTTTTCTTGCCGCGGACATCTCAGCTCCGTGGATACGGAGTCGCTGCTGCAGGAAGTGAGGACCCAGCTCAGGAAGCGCTGCTACACCGGAAATAACGCGCTCTACAAGAACTTCCTGGATGCCGACAAGGACAGGTGAGCGTGGCGCCATCTAGCGGTGCTCGTCGCAAACTACGGGGCGGCTGTGGTGTGGAGGGATTCGTTGAATATTATTATCGTTATTGTTATCATTTGGATTTATATATACATTGCAAAAAAATTAACATAACTCGATAGTACAAGCAATCGATAAGAATAATACGGACAAAAATAGACCGGCAGTTGAGAATTTTTAGGAACGATAACATTTTTACCACAAAATGTATTACAAATGACAGAACAATAAATAATAACAATAATAAAAATAAAATTAATAACGACCAAATTTCGTCGGGATGTCGACGCTCTTCGATGATGACCTTTGACCTCACGATGAATCACGACGCTCCCTGTTCGCAGGTCGGGTCACGTGGACAAGGAGGAAGTGAGAGGCATGTGTCGCCGTGCCAACCTGCCCGTGGACGAGGAACTCCTGGATCTGGTGAGTCGCCGTCGCCGTCGGCAACGCAGCATCTCGGCCGACGCGTGCACGCGACTGCCACTAGATGGCGGTGCGATCTGCAGCAGACGCTGCCGATGTCGCGTGACAGTCGCTGCTACAGCTTAGCCGACACCTCTACAGAACAGCCACCTGTCTATAAAGGACACTAGGTGTTGTCGAGTGGCAGTTATATAGTAAAAAATCACCTCTCTAGAAGGGCCACCTGTCTATAAAGGACACTAGGCTCCTAGAGTGGCAGTTATACCGTGAATCGACCTCTATGAGAAGGGACCTCCGTTTATTGACTCTTGGCACATTTACTTTTATTGACCTTTCTATAAAAACTTTCATGTATGAGATAGCAAGCGATATGTATATCACACACATTATATATATATATATATATATATTATATATGTTATATATAAATATATAATAAATATATATATATGAGAATGTATATTTATATATGATAGGAATGTATAGTTGCGGGCGAAGTATTTACTTTACGCGTGATCGAACGTTCTGATGTTTTATTCGTCGCCGGTTTCGCAGTTGATCGCCGGCTGGCCCACAAACCTCGACGGAAAGATCAACTTCACAGAGTTCCGCAAATTCTTCACCGAGGACGAGGACGAGTGATCTGGTTGTCACGGAAACAAGTGATCGACAGCTGGTCGTCACGGAAACAAGTGATCGACAGCTGGTCGTCACGGAAACAAGTGATCGACAGCTGGTCGTCACGGAAACAAGTGCTGTCAGACTGCGACGGTGATTCGAATACGTACAAAATGAACAGATAAAATGTTGAAACGTTGAGAAAATGCACCCGATCTTAAGGAAATTTGTTATATAACCTGTATTTGACAAAGGTGTCATAGATATTACTCACTTTCACTAATATATATTACAAGTTTTGTTCATGTGAAAAATTAAAAATGTCTTCGAATTTGAAAATCACGTGCAAGTGCAGCCGCCACCCACCCACCCAATCTGAACCACACAAACAGCAAACTTGTATATTTCAACTTTTATTAATAATAAAAACACAAAACATACATATAATAGAAACCCTCACAAGCCTTTTTTTAATATATATATATATATATATATATGTATGTATGTATATATATATAATTTCACTATCATATATGTTGCCCGCTCGCGCGTCACGACTTGGACAAGTTTAAAAAATCGGCACATGATTCCGGGGAGGGGGGAGGGGGTTACGCGTGACAAGCGGGGAGGGGGTCGGGGGTAGCGCACGTGCGCTCGGCGTGCATGTACGTGCGTGCGTGCGCGGACGCAACACACGTTGGTTTCATCATCAACAGCATCAACAGCATCAACATCAACATCAACAATGACGGCGACAGCGCTACTGCTCTCCTTACGTCTCTCTCGCCGCGCAAACGACCTCCCTCGCGACCTCTATCGTCATCACACACGTCGAGTCAATTAAAATTAGCCGCGTTAAAACAAAGCCACAACCATCACCAACATTTGCCCCCTCCTCATCCATGACTCACAGAACTTACTCACAACCTTCTCTCTCAGGAGCAGATACCGCTCTCTCTCTCTCGCTCTCTCTCTCACAACCCTCTCTCACCACCCTCTCCGCCCTCTCTCTCTCTCTCTCTCTCTCTCTCTCTCTCTCTCTCTCTCTCTCTCTCTCTTCACAACCTCTCTCTCTCTCTCTCTCTCTCTTCTCTCTTCTCTCTCTCTCTCTCTCTCTCTCTCTCTCTCTCTCTCTCTCTCTCTGCCTGTCTCTGTCTGTCTCTCACTCACACACACACACACACAACCCTCTCCGCCTTCGCTCTCTCTTTCTTTTTCTCTCGCTCTCTCTCTCTCTCTCTCTCTCAAACACACACATGCACACAACCAAGTTAGATCACATGATAATAAACATTTCCTATTGTGCTCATTCCTTGTCTAATGGGAGGGGGGGGATAGAATCACAACCAACAATCTTCTAAAAATGAAACCCGGTCAGTTTTTTTATTTACACACGACCCTCACAACGATACCGTCACTTTTACTTACTCACGTACGCAAAACACGTTCCGCAGTCACAACCCGCAATTGCGCACGCGTGCAAATGTACATACGTACAAAATGTACACGTGTACAAATGCATGCACGCACAAAATGTACACGTATAAATGCATACATGTACATGTGTACATACATGCATACACATACAAAAATGCACACGTGCAACGCACACACGCGCAGTGCACGTGTCACACGTGATGACGTCACGCGGCGAGGTCACGAGGTCGCGCGTCGGAGAGAGACGAGGCTGCGACGTTAACACACGACGAAACGATAAAAACAAGCGAGCATGCGAGCGGCATTCCGCAGTATTGCTAGGTATATAATAATAACGCGCGCGCGTGTATACGTGTAAACGCAGCGAGAGAAACATCACACACGATGAGACACAACCGCGTCGCCATGACGACGGAGAGAGACGCGTCGCGAGCGGCGAGTCCCCGAATAAAACCCGAAACGACGACGACGGCAAATAAAAACCGCTAGGGGGCGCCGCGAGCTAAAACAATCGGATCTGCCACGATGTTAAAAATAGAATCGATTACGGAGGCGATTAAAAAAATTATACACTCTGTTGTTCGGTTAGTTTATTAGATCTTACACTAGGTGTCGCCACGGGCTAGGGGGGCGGCGACTACGTTTCTACTCTACTGCGGGCGGCTTGGCACAACCCTATTGCCTTTAAAAACAACGTTAGTTCATATACATAGCTAGCTGCTGCTGCGTGTACGGGCGAAGCGATGGCGGCGGCAGCGCCACCACAGAGGGCAGCACTTGCCCCCCCGCCCCGCGCGTATCCGTGGCGACGGCGCGGCGACCTCCAGCACGCTAACAGGTGTTTATGTACAAACCCACCGGCGCGGGGCTGGTGGGAGGGGGTTCGCACGAGCGCGTGGGGGGAGGGGAGGGGCGCCTGCTCCGCGGTAGCGGCGCTCGCGTCCGTGGCCACAGGAGGGCGCCACCTCCACGCGCGGATAAAACGCGGTACAAATAAAAAACGATAAAATAGCCGACGACGTCAGAAAGAGCGCGGGTGCTGCCACCTGGCGAAGACGACACAACACCAGCGAAGACAAAACACAACCAATGGACGTGATCGGAGGAGGAGGAAGGGGAGAAGGATGAGGAGGAGGGCAGAGAGGAGAAGGGAGAGCAGGAGGAGAGAGAGCAGGAGAAGAGAGAGAGCAGAAGAGGAGAGGAGAGAGGAGGACCGAGGAGGAGAAAGAAGAGGAGGAAGAAGCGGAATAGAGGAGTAGAGAGGAGGACGAGGGAAAAGAGTAGAGAAGAAAGAGGCAGGAGAAGGAGAGGAGAAGAAAGCGGAGGAGAGGAGGCGAAAACATTCACGAACGATTCCTGAAAATACTGTACAGTAGTAGTAGAAGTAGTAGTAGCAGTAGTAGTAGTACTAGTATTGATAGTAGTAGTAGTAGTAGGCTGGAGACCTGCGGCTCCCTCTCTCACAGACCACTCCCCCAACGGCGGCAGCGACGGCGTCGCCGCGGCAACGGAGGCGGGAGGGACGCGGCGCGAGCGAGCGAGGCCGCGGAGGAGGGAGCAAATGCGGGCTTCCACGGCGCGTGACCGCACGGAGAGCGATTCCGGACGATTTCCGGAATGATGTCATAGGAGTGCCGGCGATTCCCCCGAAGAGGAAGAGCGTGCTTCCATTCTGGAATCCATCCCCGGTTCCATCCCGTAATCGGTTACAGGTTCCTCCTGGAATTGAGGTACTGGGGACTTCCGTAATCGAACTCCCGGAAGGATCTTTCCCGGAAGTCGTATCCGAATCGGGGTCCTCGAGCCTTCTCTGGATTAATCCTCTCCCCCTTGCCGGAATTGAATCCCGAAATCGTTTTGCCGGAATCGCATTTCCAGTTACAGGGGAAGCATTAGGCAAGGAGGATAGCAAGATATCCTGTCTTCCCAGCATCCTAGCAGAATATCCTGTCATCCCGGCATCCCAGCAGCATATCCTGTTTTCCCGGCATCCCTAGCTCTGCTTGCCGTTGGCTCCGGCGGCAGCGGCCGCTGCCTTGCCTTTGTTCACGTTGATCTCTACGATCTGCTCCTTCCTCGTCTCAATCTGCAAGATAGAGAGAGAGAACTCTCGCAAAAGACATCTCTCGCAGGAGAGGGAGAGAAGAGAGAAAGAGATGAGTGATATATATATATATAGAGAGAGAGAGAGAGATAGGGAGAAAGAAAAGAGATGAGAGAGAGAGGAAGAGAGAGAGAGCGAGAGAGAAAGAAAGAAAAAGAGAGACACAGACAGAGAGAAGAACGCGAGGGATCGGACGACCGTCCCAGAGAGAAACGTTTACTTCCGTCATAATTTTAGCCGATTATACGCGATAAAATATCCCAAACGACCACAATCATATTGGTAAATGTTTGTGTAAACAGAAACGCTCCTGTGAATTGAAGTACGCACGCGCGTACATCCACAGTTACGTGTCTCACGTACATTAAGTCTCCGGCAGTGCGGCGCCGGGGCGAGATATTCGGCTACTAAACACGCAACCTGTCATGCTCGGCCAACAGCTGCTGAAAACACGTGAGCATGCGATATAGAGAGACAGAAGGTGTGTGTGCCAGCCACAAAGCTAGGTGTACAGCCACAAGCTATGTGCAAAGTGCTCCAAATAGTCTAAAACACATGACGAAATGCAGGTGATACAGTGTAGCTGTCAAGGATTCATATACAAATGAATGAATGAATGAATGAATGAATAATTAATGTATAATTAAATGTAGTTTATGTGTGTGTACGTAAATGTAGTGACCTGTGTGTGTAAATGTAGACGTCGTCCTGAACAGGAATCCAGAAAATATATCTCAAATCAATGAATACATAAATAAAGATATATATATATATATATATATCAGAAGTAGACTGTAGATAATAGGGAATTATAGAGAATTAGGGAAATAGGGAATTAGGGCGTTTCCTATTATCTACTTCTGATATATGAGTGTACGTATTTATCCTGGGCAGCTTTATATATATAATAGACTACTATCCACAAACATACATGTACGACAGGTACGTGCATAAACATCCATCACATTAATCAGGTGCAATAAGGAGAGGAAAGATGAGACAGGTGGCAGACTGCACGGCAGCGACCAACGAGAGAGAGAAGAGAGAGAGAGAGAGAGACACGTAGAGAAGAGAGAGAGAGCGAGAGAGAGAGAGAGAGAGAGAGAGAGAGAGAGAGGGAGAGAGAGATAGAGAGAGAGAGAGAGAGAGGAGAGAGGATAGAGAAGAGAGAGAAGAGAGAGAGAGGAGGGAGGAGAGAGAGAGAGAGAAAGAGGGCAGAGAGAGAGAGAGAGAGAAAGAGGCAGAGAGAGAGAGTAGCGAGAAGCGAGAGAGAGAGAGAGAGAGAGAGAGAGAGAGACAGGAGATAGAGAGAGAGAGAGATGAGAGAGAGAGATCAGAGAGATGAGAGAGACAGGAAGAAGAAGAGAGAGAGAGAGAGAGAGAGAGAGAGAGAGAGAGAAAGAGAGCAGAGAGAGAAGAGAGACGAAGAGAGAGACGAGAGATGAGAAGGCGACAGGGGAGAGAGAGAGAGAGAGAGAGCATAGATAGAGAATAGACGAGAGAGAGAGAGAGAGAGAAGAGAGCAGAGGCGAGAGAGAGAGAGAGAGCGAGAGAGAGAGAGCGAGAGAGAGAGAAGAGAAGAGAAAGTAGAGAGAGAGAGAGGAGAGAGAGAGAAGAGAGAAGAGAGAGTAAGAGAGGAGAGAGAGAGAATAGAGAGAGAGAGAGAGAGAGAGGAGAATGAGAGAGAAGAAAGAGA